TGGTATATATGGTTTATGAGGACACAAATGTGTATAATGACATGGGTACTACAACGTAAACATGGTTTATGAGGACACTTCCTGTGTCCCCGTAAAACAAAACGCTTAAAAAACATACAAAACGGTGTTTTATGAAATTCAAAAATTGCCAGCAGTTTCCTGTGAGGGGTAGGTTTAGGGGTAGGGTTGGTGTAGGGCAATAGAAAATACAGTTTGTACAGTATAAAAACCATTACGCCTATGGAGAGTCCCCGTAAACCACAAATACAAGTATGTGTGTGTGTGTGTGTGTGTGTGTGTGTGAGTGAGTGAAATTAAGTTTTGATATATTTACGGTAGGAAATTTACAAAATATCTTCATGGAACATGATTTTTACTTAATATCTTAATGATTTTTGGCATAAAAGAAAAATCGATAATTTTGACCCATACAATGTATTGTTGGCTATTGCTACAAATATACCCCAGCGACTTAACACTGCTTTTGTGCTGCAGGGACATATTTGTTCAATAATTAATCGCACCAAGTTAAAGCATTAAATGGACAGCCCTAGTGATGATCTAGATCAGTGTTTCTCAACCCTGGTCCTGAGCGCCCCCCAACACTGCACATTTTGTATGTCTCCCTTTTCTGACACATCCATTTCAGGTCCTGGAGTTTCTTTTAATGAGCTAATGAGTTGAATCAGGTGTGTTTGATTAGGGAGACACACAAAATGTGCAGTGCTGGGGGGCGCCCAGGACCAGGGTTGAGAAACACTGATCTAGATTATTGTGTGTTTCAGGTTCGGGTCAGATCCAGCTGTGGCAGTTCCTCCTGGAGCTTCTCTCCAACAGCTCCAACTCGTCCTGCATCACGTGGGAAGGAACCAACGGCGAGTTCAAGATGACGGATCCGGACGAGGTGGCGCGGCGCTGGGGCGAGAGGAAGAGCAAGCCCAACATGAACTACGACAAGATGAGCCGAGCCATGCGCTACTACTACGACAAGAACATCATGACCAAAGTGCACGGCAAGCGCTACGCCTACAAGTTTGACTTCCACGGCATCGCACAGGCCCTGCAGCCGCATCCGCCCGACTCCTCCATCTACAAGTACCCCGCCGAGCTGTCCTACATGAGCTCGTACCCGCACCCGCAGAAGATGAGCTTCGTGTCTCCACACACTCAGGCCATGAACGTTGCCTCGTCCGGCTTCTTCGGCGGCCCGGGTCCATACTGGAACGCTCCGGCAGCGGCGGGAATCTACAGCGGACCGCGACACCCCGCCGCGCACATGCCCTCGCATCTGGGCTCCTACTACTAGACATCTCAAACATCTCAAGAACACACCAGACTGGAGAGAGCAACCCATCCGCCGGCGCTGCTGCCAGAGAAACACTCGCCGTATTTAGACAGGAGACTAGCCAGAAGCTTAGCCGGAATGTGAACGTGGCTGTATAGCATGTTAATGAGCCGCTGCATGATCAAGTATATATGTTCATGCGTGCCTTATTGTACAAACATATCAGAGAGAGTTCAGAAGGTCTGAGAGAGAGAAGGTGAGAGGAAGAGGAAGACAGGACTGAGGTATGAGAGAGGATGAAGAATGATGGCCGTTCACATGAAGGACGATAACGTAGGGCTGCACGATAACGGTTAATCGCGATTACTTGCTCAAAAAATATAATCACATATTTTCTATTTCATCAGATTGATTGCAGTTTCACATAAGCATAAATCAACTTGCTTTCGATTTAGTTTCAGCAAGCAGCGCAAACAGACTGGCTTTATTATGCTATTATTTGAGCAGAATATCTCAGTAAAGACTGATGATCTCCAATATTTTCTATAATGCAGAGAGAGCGCGTGCGCATGGTTGCCAAGTTGGGAATAAATTAAATAAACCACCAGGGTTGCCAAATCCACCGTTTTACTGTTATGCGGGTTGTTTTTGAAGTCTCCGGGTTAAAGTGATCTCCCCAGAACACTATTTTCGACAGAAACCACATAAAACATGATTGGGCTAGTTTTGATTATCAAATTTTTTTTGGCAACCCTGTAAACCACTGGACATAAAATGTATCAATTTAAGAGAAAAGCTTTGATTGGGGGATTTAAACACTTTACATCTGGCAACCGTGAACACTTGTAAAGGCTTGCTACCAATGCAAAATAATGGCAATGTCAAATAAAAATGAAGTGTTTACAGGATAAATAACCAGCGGGCAAATATTGCAGACAGTTATGCTTAACGAAATTAAGCAGAGAAGCAAAAATGGTGATCATGATTAATATATGATTCATCATGCATCATGATAAAGGAATAACGAGTTCATGCCACAACTATAACGATAACGACACAAATTAACGATTTCGTTGGAATCACTTTCAGGGCGATTTTTTTTTTCCAGACGACGAGTGATAAAAACATTGACAGCCAATCAGAATCCACCGTCTTTAAAGAGCTTGGGCATTTAAAGCGACAGGTTTATAATAAACAGCCAATATAGTTATCGTTCTTAGTGTGAACAGGCCTCTTGCCAAATTTATCAGTATTATGTCATTCGTGTGGCATCAGAGATTGAAGTTTGCCTTAAAAATGACGAATCTTTGTAGAAAACTGGAAGCTTTCAGACGTTTTAATGACCTCAAACCTTTACAGACAGGTGCATTTATATGAAACAGTGCCTTACAGAGAGAAACAGATTTACCAAAGATACCAGTATTTGTATTATTATTAATTATTATGACGATGTTCCGAGTCGCAAACGCTGTGCGTTTGTTAGATTGAAGTATACAATTAATTCAGTGTTATAATTCTTTTTCTATAATAGATATATAACTTATGCATTTAAACACTACGAGTTGAGCTCAGCCAGCCGAACAGACATGTAATCAGAGACGTAGAGAAACGGAGCGCACTCGTGTGATTCTCTGTATGATGGGTGGTGTACAGTGAACACGCGTGTGTTCGTATGACGCTGGACTGGCGCGGCACACGGGCTCAAACCGACTGAACCCAGATCAGATCAGTTCGGTCACAAGCCCTGATGCTCTGAGATTGTTGACAAAGGGAAGAAAACATATATTTGGATAAATTATATGGTTTTCTACTGAATCATTTTAATAAACTATTTTCAGCAATGGTGTTCTTATTGCTTTGAGTTAAGAAACACTCTCATTAGCTGGACCACAAGCCCCACTCACACACACACTCAGACACACACGCTCACACACACTCTCTCTCTCTCTCTCTCAAACTCACACACACACACTAAAACACACACAACCCCCACTCACAAACACACACACACTCATACACACACACTCACAAACTCACACACACACACACTAAAACACTCACAAACACACACACACTCACAAACTCACACACACACACAAAAACAAACACACACCCTAC